CTACACTAGCAACAGGCAACTCAGCAAGGCTAGCACCTAAGCTAACAACACCAGAGTAAACAGAGTCAGAAACACTAGAGTCAACAACAGCATACATAGCAGGAAGAGTTCCTAACAGATCAGCAAGCTGCGCAGCGGACATGCCCCACAGAGCGGAGCCGTGCTGCGACACAAGAGGAAGCCAGTCAGGGGCAGGACCGCCAACCCCGTAGGCCAGACGAACCGTGTCAGTGAGCTGAGCAAAACACTGACCAGGAGGGTGAGTGCGGCCACACGACCGGCCGCGGCGCGCACCTGTCAGAACCTGATAGGTGCACGGACGGTGAACAGCACTGCGCTGGGGCTGACGCTGCCCTGACCCCGAAGCCGGCTGCAGTCGCTGCTGCTGCGAAGGCTGCTGGGAGGTGAGGGGCTGCTGCTGCTGCCGCTGAGCCAGGTACCACGCCGCTGCTCCACCCGCCGCGGCCGGGAGTCCAGGGGGCGACTGACGAACGCGGACGTCGCCAGCACCAGCAGGGGAGTCAGTGGTCGCCGCTCGGGACGCCTCTCCAGACCCAGCTCCTCCACCACCCCCAGGTGCGACGTCACCCCCACCACCGCCGCCTCCACCAACCCCACCGCCCGAACCCGAACCGCCCTTCCTTCTGCCCCTACTCCGGGAACGCGAGGAAGTCGTAGCAGCTGCTGCAGTGACGTCAGTGGCAGCAGTGGCTAGAGAGGCAGTAAAGGTGGGCAGCTGTGGAACTGTGCACCCGTGGAACAGTGGGGGGGGCACAGCACCAGAGGCAGCGGCTACAAAGCAAAGGTTGCTCTCGACGTCCTTGAGTGCGGACTCAAGGACCTCGATAGTGAGCTCACTAGGGTGCTTCAGAAGAAGTGCATCACGAACAGAGGCAAGGCAGTCAGGGAGGCTAGTGGCGATGAAATAGATAGTAATCGCCATCGGGGGAGGGAGCAGTGCGAGCTGTGCGTCAGTGCAGGATGCGCGGTAGCTAGAGTCAAGCGAGCGGAGGTGAGCGACCAAGTCAGCTGAGCGCTCAAACGAAGCGAGATCAGGGAACAGGAACGGGAGGAAAAGACGACCAAGAGAGACAGTAGCGGGAGTAGCGTAGCGGGCCTTAATCGCAGTCAGGAACTCGCTAGCAGAGCGAACCTGAGTGAAGTGAACCTCCTCAGACTCAGGGAGGAGGCTGCTGAGGGCGATGCAGGCCGCAGCGTCACGCGACGTCCACGCCGTAAGAGCGGCACGCTGGCGGTCAAAGCGGTTGCGGGCAGTGTCGTCTTGGTCCGGGCCTAATGGCGTGGGGTCGGGGGGCGCAGGAAGAACACCAGCAGCGTGCGCCCAGAGGGTCTCTCCCGACTGGACCTGACTCTCTAGCAGGCGACGCGCGCGGAGGAGCCAGACCGAGAAATCGAGCGGGCGACCGTCAGCATCGAAACGAAGGACGCGAGGTGTCGCCATTGTTCGCAAACCGAAGCGGCAGGGAAAGCAGGGCGCAGCGGGCGGGTAAGGCAGGGGGGAACGGGTGGGAAGAGCAGGTGCGTGCGGGTGGACTAGGGCAGGTGCACGTGGGCTAGGGGAGGAGCGCGCGAGCGGTCTAGGGCAAAGGCGCCGGGCGGGTAGGGCAAAGGCGCCGGGCGGCAGGGGTAGAACGTAGGCCGGGGCGCGGGCCTGGGCGACGGGTTAGGGCGCAGGCAAGGGCGACGGGCGAGGGCGCGGGCTGGGGCGACGGTCTGGGGCGCGGGCCAGGGCGACGGGCTAGGGCGCGGGCCTGGGCGACGGGCTGGGGCGACGGGCTGGGGCACGGGCCTGGGCGACGAGCTAGGGCGCGGGCCAGGGCGACGGGCTGGAGCGCGGGCCAGGGCGACGGGCTAGGGCGACGGGCTAGGGCGCAGCCAGGGCGACGGGCCAGGGCGACGAGCTAGGGCGACGGGCTAGGGCGCGGGCAGGGCGACGGGCTAGGGCGACGGGCTAGGGCGACGGGCTAGGGCGACGGGCTAGGGCGCGGCTAGGGTGACGGGCCAGGGCGGCGGGCCAGGGCGACGGGCTAGGGCACGGCGCGACGCGACGAGAAGCGGGGGGGAAGGCGTGGCCATGCGATCTACCGCTAACGGAAGGCTCGGGCGTAACAGTAACGAGAGGTGCGGGCGTAACGAATAGGAACGGGAGGATCGGGATCCAATAGGATCCAACTAGCTGATACCATGTTAGAATGAGAGAATGTTGTGTTTCATTGATGTGGTTGGGGTACATATAGAAACCCTAACAGATGTACCCCCTAAGACAAGCCTCACTACAGGCAATACATTTGACACTGGTATCCATTTTTCGTAGGACGTCGAAAATGTACAGTACACGGGTACCCCAAATGGTGGCACCTGCAGCTCGCACGATCGATGTGCCATGGTGCACACATCGATCGTGCTTTTGGGTTGGCGGGAGAGCATATCGCGCCACAGGTGACAGCCGCGATCGATCGGCGTCGCCCACGGTCGCGATCAGGCAAAAAAAATCTCGAGTCGTTGCGAATGAAAGTGCTTGGCGACCAACCACAATCTGCCCTGATTGGCTTCGCGTCGCAATGTGTTGTTGAAATGAGGAATGGATGATGCATTGATGTTGGTTGGGGTACATATAGCTAACCCTAAGTTTTGTACCCCCTAAGACAATCCTCACTATAGGCTACAACATTTGACACACCCCCATAGCCTAAGTGAGGGGTGTCTAGCAGAACCAAAAGAGTACGGTCACAAGACCAGTCCAAGAAACAAAGCTCAGGGTGGATCACAACGTCACCACACACTCTGAGCACAAACACCAGTGGCCACAAGGCCAGTCCAAGAACTCACAAGATATACAGCAAATGTACAAGCAAGACAAACAGTCAACTCAAGTCTACACAAGACGAGAACCAGTGTCAACAAGGCCTAACTGCACACAGCACCTCTGGTGGTCACAAGGCGGAAGCGCCTTGGTGAAGATGTCTGCAGTGTTGGCCTCGGACTCCACAAACTCGAAGCGAGCCTGTCCACGTCTCTGCAACTCTCGCAGAAGAAAGTACCTGACGTGAATGTGCTTCACTCTGCTCTCCAGTCGCGGCTCTCGACAAAGGAGAATCGACGCCTTGTTGTCAGTGAACAAGGTCGGTGCAGAGCTCGGCCGCTCACCAAGGTCGGCAAGCAAGAACGTCAACCAACGCAGCTCCTGTGCCGCCATGGCACCAGCGTAGATCTCAGCCTCAGCTGTAGAGGTCGAGACCGAAGAGGAGCGCGTGGACCGCCAGGAAACAGCTCCAGAACCCAGGCTGAAACAGTACCCCTGAGTAGACCTGTGAGTCTCAGCGTCGTCAGCGTAAGAAGAGTCACAGTGACCAGTAAGTACGACAGACTGCTGCCCTCCAAGAACTAGCCCCACGCCTGATGTCGTCGCTAGGTACTTCGCCACCCTCACAGCTGCTGTCCAGTGAACAGGACGGTGTCTCCCTGGCGCAACAAAGCGCGCAAGGACGCTGAGAGGGAAGGCGAGGTCCGGGCGAGTACAAGTCATCAGGTACATGAGGCAACCCACAAGCTCTGCGTAGGGACCACTAGGCTCAAACGGCTCGTCAGGAAAGGGTCCAGTGAGTCTGTGGTCAACAGCAAGAGGTGTGCGCTGTACTGTGGAGTGCTGAAGCCCGAACCGCTGAAGGACCTGCTGCACCATGTGTGACTGTGAAAGTGTAATGGTGCGAGCAGCTCTGTCCCTGGTGATCTGCAGGCCAAGGTAGTGGCGCAGCTCACCAAGGTCAGTGCAGGTGTGTCTCTTCTGCAGTTCGGACTTCACGTCTGCCAAAGCAACCCTGTCAGCAGTGGCGAAAACGAGGTCGTCGACGTAGACCAGAACAAAGAACGGTGTGGAGCCGCGACGAACGAACAGCGACGGGTCGGCAGAAGACGGCTGGAACCCAAGGTCAGAGAGGGTAGAACGCAGAGTGTCGTGCCACTCACGAGGGGCCTGGCGAAGACCGTAGACAGGTCGCCTCAGCCTCCACTGGGTCCCAGGAGGGAAGGTGCCAGTGAAGGCAGAGGGACGACGCAGCCAGACCTCCTCGTGAAGACTGCCCTGAAGGAAAGCAGTGGAGAAGTCGAGAGAGTGTAACTCGTAGTCTCTCTGTGCTGCTACGTGTAGTAACACCCGAAGAGTGGTCATCTTCGGGGTAGGCGCAAAGGTCTGAAAGAAGTCAACTCCCTCGCGCTGACTGAAACCTCTAGCCACGTAACGCGCCTTGAAGACCGGGGGAGATCCCGGTGGCCGCTTCACCCTGTAGATCCACATGCCGTCGACTACGTTCGCCCCAGGAGGGGGAACCTCATCGATGTAGGTGCCTGTGGATCTGTAGGAGGCCATCTCTGCGTCCATGGCAGCTCTCCACTGAGAGGCCCAAGGCCCTGACACTGCCTCAGCGTAAGTGCGAGGAGTCGGAATGTCAAGGGCGTCTGGGTCACCCTCAGGGGCGAGGAGCATGGCACAGAGATGAGGGGAAGCGGCTGCCAGGAACTCTAGCTCAAACTGCCTGTCCTCTAGGGCGTCACAGCCAAGGGCAGACACACCCCCGACGGCCAGAGGACTGGAAGGAGGAGCAGCCACAAGACCGGTGGCGAAGTCAAGGCGGCGGGTAGAGGCAAACTCAGTGACTGCGGCAGTAAGAGCGGACACAGAGGACACAGAGGCACGAGGGTGAGTAACAAGCGAGGCGAGAACACGAGAGAGAACAGGACGGTACGTGCGGTAGTAGTCAGTGACAGGAGTAGGGAGCGACGCAGTGAGAGCCGACTCAGGAGGAGACGGAAGCACAGACGGAGACTGACAAGGTGGACTAGAACGAAGTAAGGCAGTACGAAGGTCAGTGAAGGGAACAGGAGACGAGGGACGAGCACGAGGGGAGCGACGAGAGGCCCAAGTCTGAGAAGGAGGAGGGGACAACGAAGACTGAGAACGAGGGAAAACAGCGGGAGAGGGGTCAGGAGGAGGAAGCGGAGGACCAGAGACGGGAGGAGAGGGGGAGGAGGAAGGAGAGCGAGAGGGGAGACCAAGGGTCCGAAGACCCGAGACAGGAGGAGGAGGCGGCTGCTGCTGCTGCTGCTGCTGCTGCTGCTGCTGCTGCTGCTGCTGCTGCTGCTGCTGCTGCTGCTGCTGCTGCTGCTGCTGCTGCTGCTGCTGCTGCTGCTGCTGCTGCTGCTGCTGCTGCTGCTGCTGCTGCTGCTGTCGCTGCCGCTCCTGCTCCTCCAGCCGCTGCAACTCTCGCTCCTCTCTCTCCAACTCCAGCTGCTCCTCACGAGCACGGCGAACACGAGCCTGGAACCTGGTCGGGTAGGGGTGGGGGGTAGTAGTAGTGTCCGGGGCAGCGGCAGCCCCAGAGTCCACCTCCGAAGCACCAGGCGCACCACCCCCAGAGTCAGCACCAACACCAGCTCCAGACCCAGACGCACCAGAAACCGAAGGGGTCTCACTCTCACCCCCAGACTCCGCACGACCAGCACCAGCTCCCGGAAGACGAGAGTCCTCTGCAACCCGCGGCTCAGCTCCAACTCCAGCACCCCCAGAACCAGAAACCGGTACAGGAACTGTCTCAGTACCAACCTCTCTAGAGCGAGCACCTGCAGGACGCGGCGAGGAAGACTGTGGGGAGGGAGGCTGTACCGGAGGGGCTACCGAAGGGGGAGGGGTAGCCTGGGACACACCGGACGGGGCTGGACCAGGGGGGGAGGCTGTACCGGGGGAGCAGGAGGGGGAGCGGCGGTCAGGAAGAGAGGGGGGGGAGGGACCGGGAGACCTCGACTGGGGTACCTGACGTAGTAGGGGGTGGACTCCTCGAAACGGACGTCACGGGAGTCAAAGAACCGGTGAGAGGGAGGGTGGTAAAAGGTGAAGTCAGAGGAGTCCTCAGGGAAACCAAGGAAGACACAAGGAACGGCGCGAGGCGAGAGCTTGTCCGCGGAGGTGTCGCGGACAAGAGCCAAGCACCCCCAGACACGAAACCGCGAAGCAACACCAGGGGACCCGGTCCAAAGACTGGTCGGTGAAGCCTCTGGCCGAGAGACGCGTGGCCAGAGGTTCAGCTGGTGCGCGGCGTACCTGACCGCATAGGGCCACAGAAAATGGGGGGCACGGGCGTGAGTCAGGGAGGTGCCGACGATCTCCATGACCAAGCCTATGCGGCGCTCAGCAACCCCATTCTGCTGTGGGGACTCTGGAAGCGTCCAGGACTGACGAATGCCCTGCTCGCGACAGAATCCAGCAAGAATGCCGGAGCGAAACTCACCCCCGCGGTCGGAGTGAAGACAGCTGACACGACGACCACGAGTGTCCTGCGTGGTAAGCAACCACCTGATCAGCGTAGAAGTCACCTCAGACTTCTTCGCCAGGGGAAACACTGTGGTGTAGCGGGAGTAGTCGTCAACGACCACCAGAAAGAAACGCTCACGCTCAGGGCCCTGACGAGAGGCAGGGCCCCAGACGTCCAAGTGGAGCGTCTCAAAAGGCTCGGTGGCCGGACGAAGGGAGGAGGAGTGAGGGGTGGCGCGCAGCCGACCCTCGACGCAGGGACCGCACGGCGGCGCAAGCGAAGGCGGCAGCGACGGCAAGACACGCGGGAGGCCTAAGACAAGACGCTGACGAGACATAGCGCGCAGACGAGGAAGGGACGGGTGCCCCATCCGGTGGTGCCACAGGACGGTGGGGTGGGCAAGGGACCGGCAGGAGCAAGACGCAGCGACTGGACCAGACGCAGGAACCTGACCAGACACAGCTACCTGGGGGGAAGGAGCAACCTGGTGAGACGCGGGGACTCGAGCGGAGGGCGGAACAGGGGCCGGGGGCAGTAGGAGCGGCTGCTGCTGCGGCTGCTGCGGCGGCTGCTGCTGCGCCAGCGGGCCAGTGTGAAGAGTGTAGAGACCGGAGCCCGGCTCAGCTGTAAAGGTGGCAAGGGGCCGGTAAGAGCCCTCGTCAACACACACCGCTGTCTCACCCGAAAACCACACACCCACGTGCTGGCTCACAAGGGGTCGTACGCCCACCAAGTTCCTCGAGAACGAGGGGACGTGAAACCCAGTGAGAGACCCGGAGGGAGCAGCAGGACACGGCAAGGTGGTAGTGTGACGCGCAGTGACTGGTCCCGAGGTGGGATCAGCCAACGCCACAGAGACAGGTGCAGGAAGTGGTGTAAGTGTCGTGCTGTCACGAAAGAAGCAGTGCGAGGCTCCAGAGTCCAGCGTGAACGACAGCGAAGTGTCCTCCGAGGTAGGCGCTGGACTAGAGTCTACACAAGAACCTACACTAGCAACAGGCAACTGAGCAAGGCTAGCACCTAAGCTAACAACACCAGAGTAAACAGAGTCAGAAACACTAGAGTCAACAACAGCATACATAGCATGAGGAGTTCCAATCAGATCTGCTAACTGCTCAGCAGACATGCCCCACAGAGCGGAGCCGTAACGCTGAACAAGAGGAAGCCAGTCAGGGGCAGGACCGCCAACCCCGTAGACCAAACGAACCGTGTCAGTGAGCTGAGCAAAACACTGACCAGGGGGGTGAAAGCGGCCACAAGGGTGGCCTCGGCGAGGACCTGTCAGAACCTGATAGGTGCAGGGAGGGTAAGCAGCACCGCGCTGGGGCTGACGCAGCCCCGACCCCGGAGCCAGCTGCGGCCGCTGCTGCTGCTGAGGCTGCTGGGAGGAGAGGGGCTGCTGCTGCTGCTGAAGCTGCTGCTGACGCTGGGCCTGGTACCACGCCGCTGCTCCACCCACCGGGGCCGGCAGTACGGGAGGCGACTGACGAACTCGGGCGTCGCCACCACCAGCAGGCGCAGTAGAGTCACCTGTCGCTGCACGAGACGACTGTCCAGGTCCTGCACTCCCACCACCGCCAGTCGCAACGCCACCTCCACTACCTCCGCCTCCACCACCACCACCACCAGAACCGCCCTTCTTGCCACCCCTACCGCGGGACCGCGACGCAGTCGTAACAGCAGCTGCAGTCGCGTCAGTAGCGGCAGTGGCGAGAGAGGCAGTAAAGGTGGGTAACTGCGGGACTGTGCACCCGTGGAAGAGTGGGGGGGCACAGCACCAGAGGCAGCGGCTACCGAGCGAAGGTTGCTCTCGACGTCCTTGAGCGCAGACTCAAGGACCTCGACGGTGAGCTCACTAGGGTGCTTCAGCAGAAGCGCGTCACGAACGGAGGCAAGGCGGTCAGGGAGGCTAGTGGCGATGAAATAGATAGTAATCGCCATAGGGGGAGGAAGCAGTGCAAGCTGTGCCTCAGTGCAAGCAGCGCGGTAACTAGCGTCGAGCGAGCGGAGGTGAGCGATCAAGTCAGTAGAGCGCTCAAAAGACGCTAGGTCAGGAAACAGGAACGGGAGGAAAAGGCGGCCAAGAGAGACAGTAGCGGGAGTAGAGTAGCGGGCCTTAATCGCAGTGAGGTACTCAGCAGCGGTGCGAACCTGAGTGAAGTGAACCTCCTCAGACTCAGGGAGGAGGCTGCTGAGCGCGATGCAGGCCGCAGCGTCACGCGACGTCCAAGCCGTCTGGTCAGCTCGCTGGGTGGCAAAGTGAGCTCTAGCGGCGTCGTCAGGGGCAGGTCCTAAAGGCGTAGGGTCGGGGGGCGCAGGGAGGGCACCAGTAGCGTGCGCCCAGAGGGTCTCGCCTGCCTGGACCTGACTCTCTAACAGACGGCGAGCGCGAAGAAGCCAGACGGAAAAATCAAGAGGTCTACCGTCAGCGTCGAAACGAAGTACACGCTGAGTCGCCATAGTGGAAACTAACGCAAAAGTGTCGGTAGGGGACAGCAGTAGGCGAGTGGGAGACTAGGGTTAAGCAGTACCCTTGGACAACGGAAGCGAACGACGGACGAGGCAGCGGGCAACGGGAGCGGACGCAGCGGTGGAAAACGGAAGTGGGGCGCAGTGGCGACGCGCGTAGGGGCGGCCTGGGCGACGGGCTAGGGCGCGAGCTGGGGAGACGGGCTGGGGCGCGGGCCTGGGCGACGGGCTAGGGCGCGGGCCTGGGCGACGGGCGCGGCCGCGGGCGCAGCGCTGGGCAGCGACGAGACGCGACGCGACGGGGAGGGGGACGGGTGCGACGCGACGGGGGAAAGCGACGCGACCGGGGAAGGGGGACGACGCGACGGGGGGAAACGCGACGCGACGGGAGGAGGGGGACGGGCGCGACGCGACGGGGGGAAACGCGACGCGACGGGAGGAGGGGGGGGACGAGCGCGACGCGACGGGGGGAAGGGGACGGGCGCGACGTAGGGGAGCGAGGGAAAGCTAACACTACCGCGGAAGGGCCGGCACTAGGCTTGGTAGCTACAGGAACGGGACGGACGAGAGCGAGGATCAGGCTCGGGAGGTACGAACGATGAACGGAGGAACGGGATCCCACAGGATCCTAACCTAACTGATACCATGTTGAAATGAGGAATGAATGATGCATTGATGTTGGTTGGGGTACATATAGCTAACCCTAAGTTTTGTACCCCCTAAGACAATCCTCACTATAGGCTACAACATTTGACATGTGTTGGTGTATTCCGATGCAGCTCCAACCTGCCCGACCCTATAATTTCGACCCTGGCACCTATAGCTCGATGTATCTACCCCACTGCAAATTTGCAGTGTGGGCACATCGGTGTGCCGATCGATGTGTCAGGATCGATGTGAGGCCCCGATCCTGGCAAAATGAAAACAGGTGCCGCGTCCTAAACATTGTAAGATAGAGAGGACAATTTGTCTGAAACACATATCACTTTGACCTACTCAGTCTTTGACTAGGATACACTAGTTAGGCAGTCCAAACCGAGCCCTGAAGAAGACCAATCACACACAATGATGACCTCAACCCTCTTGCAAAAGGTCCTTGATCGTTTCCGTCGCATCCTTTGGCACGTGCCTTCCAGGCACTCGCACCTTGATCAGGGTAAGGTACCTGGCAGCGACGCACGCAGAACCACACAGTTATACACTTGAGAGCGGAAATGTTCCTAGTGACAGCAAGCTCAAGAGAGAGGGCAGAGAGAGGAGCGGGATGTGAGAGTGACACGAGCTGTTCATCCCTCAGCTCCGTCAACCTGCAGATGGCGTGCTTGTGAACGTTCAAACAATGTCACACGCATACCGAGAGACAAGAAGAGGCAGACTGACTAAGCACGCACAAGTGGCCACTCTAAGAAACGGCTCGCCTAGGGCGTCCAACTGACACGCGGGCACGGGGATACAGACAGGAAATGAACGGTGTGTCATGCGGTAACCAGGCGGGGAATGACTTACTCATCGACGGAGAAGTAGCGGTTGTGGTCTTTTATGTATGCCAGTAGCGCCTGACAGCAAGAGAAGGAATAAAGAGAAGGAGTAAACAGACAGTGCAGAATGAAAGAATCAGTGGAATCATGCAGGAACCGGAACGGAGGCTCTCATGTGGGGGATGGAGGGGAGTAGGAGCAGGAAAGGGATGAGCGGGTTGTTGCCGAATCATGTCTACTGATTCGTCCTAAAATGCGACGCGCACCTCATAGGGGCTGGTTGAGCAGCTCATAGCACGCACCTCTCAACCGCAGCACGCGCCTCTCAACTGCTGCAGCACTCACCTCTCAACTGCAGCACGCACCTCATCGGGCCGGTTGAGCAGCTCATAATATTCGGCCCCACGGTCCAGACCCAGCTGCACACCTCACAGCAACAGAACTCCTAAAGTCGTCCTAAAGTGCAGCACACACCTAAAAATGAAGCACGCACCTCATAGGGGCGGTTGAGCAGCTCATAGTACTCCCCCACGCGGTCCAGACTCAGCTGCACACTCTGACTGCCATTCGCATTCAGTGTGGCCAAAGTCTGGCGGCCAGGGGAAAGGTACAGAGACAACGGGACAAGAGGGGCGATGCGTGAGAAGTTTGCTACTAGGAAGGGTGTCGGGTTTAGGCTGGCCACATGAAAGCACGCTCTCGCTGCCGTTTAAAGTCAGCGTTGCCAGGGTCTGGCGGACAGGGGGAAAGGGGATAGTGGAGAAGAGCTGGCTGATGGTTGCGTAGTCGTGCTGCTGCTGCTGTTGCTGTGACCTACTGTTAGCGGCCAGAGCTTGTGAAAGGAGTGGGGGAAGGTGGGAGTGGGGGAAGGTGGGAGTGGGGGAAGGTGGGAGTGGGGGAAGGTGGGAGTGGGGGAAGGTGGGAGTGGGGGGTGAACAGAGGAAGTGGAGAGAGGCGAGAGTGAGTAATGGAGGAAGAGCTGTGGTGTCCCTTGAGATACGCGGGTGTTTTTTGAGGCGCCTCAAAAGTAGACTATAAGAATGAGATACGCGGTTGTTTGTGTGAAGGGGGTTTTGATGGGACGTGAATGGAGGGGGAAGGGCGTTTAGAGGAGAGAGAGGCAGGAGAGGCTATGTTACCTGCCCTGACAGGCAGTTTTTGGCGGTTAGAGTGGCTAAAATCGGACGGACAAGTGGAACACGCCATGTCATATTTCGATCTATTCTGACGTTGAGAGCGAATGGGATAAAGGGGAAGAGGAGAGAGTGGGAAGGTGGAGAGGTGGAGACTGGAGACGAGGAGGAAATGGAAGAGGAGAGGGGTTACAATTCAATTTTGAGGCGCCTAATGTACCCACAAGAGACGAAGCACAAAAGAGTCAAGTGCAGAAGCCAATTCACCTGCTGCAGCGCGATGCAATTGCGCTGCACCTGCCGCACTCCCAGCGAGTTGATCCCCGGAAGCTCCGCCAAAGCCTGGTGGTGGGGGAAGGGGAAGGAATGGGGGTGGTGGGGGAATGGTTGAGAGGAAGGGAGAAGGGGAGGATTGCGAAGGACAGACTGTCAGGGGTTTCAAAGGACGGAAAGGGAGGGGGACGAACTGGAGGCTGCGTGCTCTATCCATCCCCCTCAGCTCATCAAAACACATCAAGATATGAGTTGATTCGAGACCAATAAAAGCTGCGCACACAAGCAACGAGCCACAAGCCATGGGCGAAGGAACACAGAACCAACGAGCGCGCGCATAGCAACAAGGTGGCTTGAGAAAGGGGCATACCCGGATAAGGCCTGTTGCCGCGAGGCTGCAGACGCCCCCAAAGACATAGTAGCGGCGGGCAGGCGCGATAAAGACCGTCATTTCCTCGTCCACTCGGGTCAGCTGGTTGGAGGGGAGTTGGGGGAGCGGCAGGGGGAAACCAAGATGGGAGAGAGTGGGGGAATTGAGGAGGGGCGGCGATAAAGAGTGTCATCTCTTTGACCCCATGGGGCAGCTGCGTGATAAAAGAGTTGTTTTGAGACGTCTTAAATCAATTGAGGAGGAGCGGCGATAAAGAGTGTCATCTCTTTGACCCCATGGGGCAGCTGCTTGCAGAGCGGGATGTGGGAAAAGGGATGAGGACGGGGTCCCTCCTGAGATGTGTGTAGGGTGCATGGCGGTATCATGATATGTTGCAGAAAGAACAACACTGACAGTGAGCACGCTGCGGTGGAAGCTAGTTCTAGGAGAGTGACCAAAAGTCACAAAAGTGGGAGCTATGCACTGCACGTGCTGTGAGCAGAGGAGTGTGAGGCCCAGACTCTAGATGACACTGTAAGTGCACACTCCTGGTAGCAAGTGCACACAAACAGTGCAAGACCACACAAACAGTGCAAGACCACACAAACAGTGCAAGACCACACAAACAGTGCAAGACCACACAAACAGTGCAAGACCACACAAACAGAACAAGACCACACAAACAGAACAAGACCACACAAACAGAACAAGACCACACAAACAGAACAAGACCACACAAACAGAACAAGACCACACAAACAGAACAAGACCACACAAACAGAACAAGACCACACAAACAGAACAAGACCACACAAACAGAACAAGACCACACAAACAGAACAAGACCACACAAACAGAACAAGACCACACAAACAGTGCAAGACCACACAAACAGCACCTGAGCGGTGAGAGCCACGATGAAGTCCTCCGGCTCCTCCGCATCGATCTCATTCACGTAGCCACGAGTCGGCATGAACTGCAGCACAGGGGTACGAGGCAGATGGGGGTGACAATGGGGGCGGGGGCAAGGGAGGGACAAAAACACAACACGTTCTGAGACATCTCAAAACTCTGGCTCCTCCGCATCAATCCCGTTCACGTAGCCCCGGGTTGGCATGAACTGCAGCACAAGGGGATAGAGGGAGCGGTGACAGATCAGGGCATGGAATAGAAGGGCGGGGGAACAAAGGGGGTCGGAACAGAGCTTCCTGAGTGCCTCCCTCACCAGCTGCTGAGGCGGTAGCGCTCCGCCAGCTGCTGCACCCTCTAGGGTTTACATACATGGAGACAACAGCCCCCTTCCCACCCTTACAGAATCCCTTCAGCCTTGGTCTCCACTTTCCGAACGCATTTTCCCACCACACCCCTCCCCCCACCTCCTGTTTCCCTATTTCCCCCCCTTCAGAAAATTTTCTTTTTGTAATTCTCAGTACCTGCGGTAGCGCTCCGCCAGCTGCTGCAGCTTCTGGAGAGCACAGCAGCATTCGCTCGCATACAGAACAAAAGCGTTACCTGCAGGTGGAAGATACAATGCAGCTGCATCTCCACACGTAGCGTCCTAAGGGCCTCCCTGGCCAGCAGCAGCTGGTAGCGCCCCGCCAGCTGCTGCAGCCTAGTGGTATACATACTCTAATCTACTCTACCATACTGGAGTACCTGCAGGTGGAAGATACAATGCAGCTGCATCTCCACTCGCAGTGTCCTGAGCGCCTCTCTCGCCAGCAAGCGGTAGCGCTCCGCCAGCTGCTGCAGCGACGCCGTTAGTGCCGGCGCCCTCTGCTGCCGCGCTGATGCCGCTGCTGACTTCTTCCTTGCACTGCCCGCTGTCTTGGGCCGCCCGAGCCTGGCAAAAGGAGGGGATGATGGGTAGAGGGAGGGTAAGTGCGACTAGTGGCAGTGCCAGCGCCCTCTGCTGCCGCGCTGATGCCGCTGCTGACTTCTTACTTGCACTGCCCGCTGCCTTCGGGCGGCCGAGACTGGAGGGGGGCGGAGAAGGAGTTGAGGTTACGCCTGTAAACAATTGATTCCGAGTGCAAAATATTCAATTTCTGATGGGTGCATGGGAAGGAGAGTGAGGGGGCTGTTGTGTGTACATGTGCCCGTGCTCCTGTGCGTACGTGTACCTGCTTACATGTTAAATCACCATGCCTGCGTTCTTGTGTGCATGAACAAGATTCTGCATTCACCGATGCATGTTTCCACGAGGCACTGACCTGAAGGCAGCGGGCAGTGCAAGTTAGGCAGCAGCAGCAGCGCGGCTGTCTGGGTCACCGTTGCTGCCTTCCTTCGGAAGGAGAAAGTATCTCAACACGCGCCCATGTGTCCAACCGCGCACGCAGTCGCTGCAGCGCAGCACTCACCGCAGGATGGCATCGGCAAAGTACTCGAGCGTGTCACTGAGAGCCGCCAGCAGCACCAGCTTGCCGGTGTCCAGAATCAGTTGCTCCTGCCAGGGCGGAAGGGGGTGAGAGGCAGGCAGGCAAGCACACGGGAGGATGAGAGGTGAGGTGTGAGGATGGTGGCAGGCACTGACAGCCGCCAGCAGCACCAGCTCGCTGGTGTTCAGAATCAGTTGCTCCTGCCAGGGCAGAAGGGGGTGAGAGGCAGGCAGGCACGCACACGGGAGGATGAGAGGTGAGGTGCGAGGATGGTGGCAGGCACTGAGATCCGCCAGCAGCACCAGCTTGCCCGTGTCCAGAATCAGTTGCTCCTGAGAGGGCGGAAGGGGAGAGTGGCAAGGTGTGAGAGGCGATGAGAGGCAAGGTGAGAAGAGAGAGAGGAGGCATGGGAGGCACGCAACGACGGGGGGGAAGTGTCACTGAGAGCGGCCAGCAGCACCAGCTTGCAAGGATACATACGAGGTAAATTCTGAGTCAAATAAAGAGCCCCCTTGGCCTTACGCACACACCAGCACACCACCAGCAGCAGCTGTCAAGCCACACACACACACACACACACACACACACAAACACACACACACACACACACACACACACACACACACACACACACACACACACACACACACACACACACTCTTACAAACCTTCTTGATGGGCCTCAGAGCCAGCAGCTTGCTGTAGATCTCGAGGTCCACCTTGTACGCCTCGCTGTCCAGAGGCGGATGCTCGCTTGCTTACGACATCACACAAGCACACAACACGCATCTAACACACCAGATTCATCACACACCAGATTCCCAACACACCAGATTCCCAACACACCAGATTCATCACACATACGTACTTCCTTGATGGGCCTCAGAGCCAGCAGCTTGCCGTAGATCTCAAGGTCCAGCTCGTACGCCTCACTGTCCAGAGGCGGGTCCTCCCGGGCGGCTTCCAGCTCAGCGGGCGGCAGATCGCCGTCCGCTAGCAGCTTGGCTGCCGCCTGTTGCTGCATGAGGTTGTCAATGTCCGGGCGGCCGACTAGGTTGCTGCTGAGAGAGCCCAGCACAGCCTGGGGAAGGAAACCAGGAGGGTTGGGGGAATGGTGGTGGTGGGGGGGTGGTGATGGTAGGGGGGCGCAGTAGAGAAGTTGGGTTGAAAATGGGGGAAAGGAAGCGGGGCAGGAAGAACATGCTGTCTGCTGCTGCATGAGGCTGTGCTGTGCACGAGCAGGGTGTGCACGAGAGCAACAAACTCCCCCGCATACACGACGGGCATGGCCTTGGCCCACTCCCCTGCACATCACACCCCCTCCCACGCCTTGGCCCACTCCACCATGCACAGGAGTTTGCCCCGCCTTGCCCACTCTCACAGGAGTCCTGCAAGCAGGGTGTGCAGCGAGAGCAACGAACTCCCCCGCGTACACGGGCATGGCCTTGGCCCACTCCACCACCTCCTCCACCACCCCTTCCACCGCCACCGGCCCCTGCAGCAGCGGGCGGCCTTTCTCGGCTGCTGGCTCGTACATGCCAATGGTCTTGGCTCGCGGGCGGAAGGCAGACGGGCCTAAGGTGAAGGGGTGAAGGGGTGAAGGGGCAAGCGGAGAGAGAAAGGGAGGAGAGAGGGGACAGGTGGAAAGGGGAGGGGGGAGGGGGAAGGGGAGCGGGTGGAAAAGGGAGGGGAGCGGGTGGAAAAGGGAGGGGAGCGGGTGGAAAAGGGAGAGGAGCGGGTGGAAAAGGAGGGGAGCGGGTGGAAAAGGGAGGGGAGGGGGAGAGGGAGGGTGGCAGATGGAGAGGGAGTGCGCGTGAAGAACAGTGGGTTGTTGTAAAGCTGTTACAAAACGTAGAGTGGCATGCCGGATACCGCATGCCGGCTCGTACATGCATGCCGGCTCGTACATGCATGCCGGCTCGTACATGCATGCCGGCTCGTACATGCATGCAGGCTCGTACATGCATGCAGGCTCGTATATGCATGCAGGCTCGTACATGCATGCCGACGGTCTCGACTTACCAGGGAAAGGCCGAGGGGCCAGCATGGGAGGGATGGTGGTGGGAGAGCTTGGGGGTTCGCTTTTGAGAATTCTCAAAAGCGATGGTGGTGGGTGGGAGAGCTTGGGGGTTCAGCGCTGATTGGTGAGCTTGGATGGACGGATAGATGCAAGGAAAGAATGGACAGAAGGATGGACGAATGGATGGGTGGTTGGACTAACTAGCATGGTGCCTGCAGCGCACTCACCCTGGAGAAGTAAGTAGCGAGGCGGTAGCGCACTCACCCTGGAGAAGTAAGTAGCGAGGCGGTAGCGCACTCACCCTGGAGAAGTAAGTAGCGAGGCGGTAGCGCACTCACCCTGGAGAAGTAAGTAGCGAGGCGGTAGCGCACTCACCCTGGAGAAGTAAGTAGCGAGGCGGTAGCGCACTCACCCTGGAGAAGTAAGTAGCGAGGCGGTAGCGCACTCACCCTGGAGAAGTAAGTAGCGAGGCGGTAGCGCACTCACCCTGGAGAAGTAAGTAGCGAGGCGGTAGCGCACTCACCCTGGAGAAGTAAGTAGCGAGGCGGTAGCGCACTCACCCTGGAGAAGTAAGTAGCGAGGCGGTAGCGCACTCACCCTGGAGAAGTAAGTAGCGAGGCGGTAGCGCAATCACCCTGGAGAAGTAAGTAGCGAGGCGGTAGCGCACTCACCCTGGAGAAGAAAGTAGCGAGGCGGTAGCGCACTCACCCTGGAGAAGTAAGTAGCGAGGCGGTAGCGCACTCACCCTGGAGAAGTAAGTAGCGAGGCGGTAGCGCACTCACCCTGGAGAAGTAAGTAGCGAGGCGGTAGCGCACTCACCCTGGAGAAGTAAGTAGCGAGGCGGTAGCGCACTCACCCTGGAGAAGTAAGTAGCGAGGCGGTAGCGCACTCACCCTGGAGAAGTAAGTAGCGAGGCGGTAGCGCACTCACCCTGGAGAAGTAGCGAGGCGGTAGTGCACTCACCCTGGAGAAGTAGCAAGGTGGTAGCGCACTCACCCTGGAGAAGTAAGTAGCGAGGCGGTAGCGCACTCACCCTGGAGAAGTAAGTAGCGAGGCGGTAGCGCACTCACCCTGGAGAAGTAAGTAGCGAGGCGGTAGCGCACTCACCCTGGAGAAGTAAGTAGCGAGGCGGTAGCGCACTCACCCTGGAGAAGTAAGTAGCGAGGCGGTAGCGCACTCACCCTGGAGAAGTAAGTAGCAAGGCGGTAGCGCACTCACCCTGGAGAAGTAAGTAGCGAGGCGGTAGTGCACTCACCCTGGAGAAGTAGCAAGGTGGTAGCGCACTCACCCTGGAGAAGTAGCAAGGTGGTAGCGCACTCACCCTGGAGGGGGCACAAATATGACCGAAGCAAGGGCACTCACTGGAGAGGGCCTCGGCGACGCGGTTGCGGTAGTCATCGCGCACGCAGGGCAGAAATTGGTCCTTAACGAAGCTGTCCATAAAGGGGCGCAGGCCAGAGCGGCTGCAGCAGCAGGGGCAGGTGGGGAGAAGGACGAAGGGGGAAAAGAGGCGCAAATTTGGTGATTTTTTAGCCCACTGGAAAGTCACCTCTCCTGCAGCAGAAGGGAAAGATAGAGGGGGGCAGCAAAGTGGGACAGCAAGAGTGGCAAACGGGATGCAGTTAAATTGATAGGAGAATTGCCATGGCAGGACAAGCGGATGGCGCATAGGACTCAGATCCGTACTCGGTACTGTTCTGTACAGTACATTTACAAGTTTGATGATGTTGATTTTGTCCTTATAAGGAGCAAAACATGCCATGCCGTGTGGCTGGCAACTCACCCCAAGTCGGAGTATTTGCGTGGCAGCATTTGCGTAACTTTTTCCGTGAACTGGGAAGGGGGAGGAGGGGAGGACGGGAGAGAGGGAGGGAGAGAGGATTTTAAGTCGACTCAAAAGCTGTCTCAGCATTTGCGTATTCAGAAAACTGGGAAGGGGGAGAGGAGAGGAGGGGAGGGAGAGAGGGAGGGAGGAGGGAAGGGACGGCGGAAAAGACGGAAAAGGTGAGGGAGGGATGGAGGGACGGAGGGAGTAAGTAATGGTATGAGTGGTGCAGATGGGTTTCAGTGGGAAACTCCATGCAGATGGGTAGATGCATCGCCTCGCTCAGGCAGTAGTAGAGCAGCCGTTTTGCCTCAAACGCACAACACAACAGACTAACCAACCAACCCGCTTGCAGCGTGTTCTAAGTCGAATCAAACGCACAACAGACAGATTAAAGCCCACCTGCAGCGTGGGGCGGTAGCAGGCGGAGGTGAGGTAGATGCCCCGCTCTGGCAGCAGTTGGGCCGTGCCGTACCCCTCCAGTGCGCCCGCTCCCCCCGCCATGCCCCCCACCCGCCTCTTCGGCAGCGTCTCCGCTGTGATTGTAGTGAGCGACGGGACAGGGGAGAGACGGGACAGGGGAGAGACGGGACAGGGGAGAGACGGGACAGGGGAGAGACGGGACAGGGGAGAGACGGGACAGGGGAGAGACGGGACAGGGGAGAGACGGGACAGGGGAGAGACGGGACAGGGGAGAGACGGGACAGGGGAGAGACGGGACAGGGGAGAGACAAGAGCAGGGAGCAGAGAGTAGCAGGTTGACTTTTGAGTCCACTCAAAAGTCAATTCGGGGGGGGTGACAGGGGAGAGCAGGGAGCAGTAGGTAAGAAGGCAAATCAAGCTTCTTCCCCCGGCAGGCCCCCACCCGCCTCTTTGGCAGGACCCCCCCCCGGCAGGAGCAACACACTTGCGGCAGGAGCAACACACCTGCGGCAGGAGCAACACACCTGCGGCAGGAGCAACACACCTGCGGCAGGAGCAACACACCTGCGACAGGAGCAACACACCTGCGGCAGGAGAATCGCACATAATTGAAGTAGAGCATCACACCTGCGGCAGGAGCGGAGGCAGTGTTGGCGTCGGTGAAGCGGAAGCTGAAGGTGAGCATGGCTCCCTTGGTGCTGCTGCCAGCCATCATGCATGGCACAGACATAAACCATGCAGCCATGGCGCCATGCAGCCATGCACCAACACAGCCACACAACCATGCATACATGCACCCATGCACCCATGCCCCAACGCGCCCATACACCCATGCACCCATGCACCCATGCACCCATGCACCCATGTACCCACGCACCCATGACCCATGCATCCACTCAGTTACACACCCATGTAAACAAGCGAGGCATAGGCCGGTGTTGTGCATGAGAGCAGGCAAACCGAGAACAGAGCATTAGGCATTGAGACATGGAGAGGAGAGTCAGGAGGAGAGGTGGAAGAAGAGCAGGTAGAGTCAGGAGAAGAGCAAGAGCAGAGAAGGGAAAGAGCAGGAAGGAGAGCCGAAACGAAAGCAGCAGGTAAAGTGGGAGGTGGGGACTTGGGTGGGGGGACTTGGGGGTTTGGGGATACAGGGGTGGGGTGGGGTGGAGTGGGGTGGGGTAGGATAAGCAGCCAACAAACAGAATTGAGCAAATTTCAATCACTTGCCACTCAACCTATGACACCAGCAACGAGAATCAGATTAAATTGGGCCCGATCAGATCAAATTAGATCAAGTCACATCAGATCAGATCACATCACATCAGATCAGATCAATCAAATCAGATGCGGATCGGATCATACCCGCCGGAGTCGAGTTTGAGCTGGGCGGTGCGCCCTGAGGTCTCAGAGGACCCGCCGTCCGGGTTGGCCCTGAGAATGTCGCACAGCAACTGCTGGCACTCGCTCTGGTGAGGAGTGGAGGAAGAGAGGAGCAAGAGAACGAGAGGCACACAGTCAACAAGCTGTGGTCTCAGTCAGGATGTCGCACACACAGAAACAGACAAAACGAGTACTTAACCATGAGGAGCAGACCAGACGAACAGCCACACATGTGCACGCACAATCAGGCAAAGTGCTCTCAAGGCGAAAGCAGCACATGCCAAAACTTGCCGCCCAGTGCCCACCTACGCAGAACAGTCCAGAGCTTGCCGCCCACCTGCATGCAGGACCAGACGAAAGCGACGCTGTAGCCGCCCGTGCTGGCGCTGAACTTGCTGACCGCCTCGTCCCCATCCGGCGTGCGCCGCACGTCCCCCGAGCGGTCTGATGCCTTGGCCTCCATGAGGTCACCCACCACTATGTGGTTCTCTGCGGTGACAGTCAGGTGGGGTGCGGTACATTGGAGTGGAGTGGGAGAAGAGAACAAATTGTGTGGAATGCTTGCCGAGCAGTCCGATGCCTTGGCCTCCATGAGGTCGCCCACCACTATGTGGTTCTCTGAGGCGACAGGCAGGTGCGATGGGGTGCATTGGAGTGGAGTGGGAGACGAGAACATGTGTGTGGCATGCTTGCCGATCTGCCCAGCCCCTTAGCCTCCATGAGCTCGCCCACTTACAGTCGCTAACAGGAGAAACCCTCAGCACAAGCACACCCACCTAGAGTCACAGCCAGGAAAAACCCTCGCTACAAGCACACGCACCTAGAATGACGGTCAGCTTCTTCATAATCGACTCCAGCAGCTCCTGAGCCACCACCTGCGCCACCCCGTTGGGCGCATGCAGCCCCGCCCCTGCTCCTCCCCCTGCCCCTCCGCCCGCCCCTCCCCCTCCTGCCGCCACTGCTCGGTCGGAGATACCGCGGGGGTTGGAGGAGCGGAGGGGGTAGGGGGAGTAGGAGGAGCGGGAGGCGGAGGAGGAGGAGAAGGTGGCGTGGGAGGAGGGCGTGGAGGCAGCCGAGTGGGGCGTGGAGGCCACCGCCTGTGAGCGCTTGCTCACCTGCTCCACCCGGGGACTGGAGGAAGGAATGGGCAGATGGGTTGGGGGGGAACAAGGTTAATCTGATGGGAGAGAAGAGCCAAGGAGGAGTGGGGCGTGGAGGTAGCTTGAGAGCGCTTGCTCACCTGCTCCACTCGCGGACTGGAAAAATGGCCGGATGGGGGTGGGGGCGGGGAAAGGGGGGAAAGTTGGGAAGGTTGGGCTGATGAGGAAAACGAGCAAAGAAGAGAGAGTAGTTAGAAGTGGTGGATGAGTGGAGTGCAGGACTGATATAAGTTACCAAAAGAAATGACCCAAGAGTGAGCCAATAGCAAGAGACATCGGAGTGGCTGCGCTGCCGTCGTTCATGCTTGCTTGCTCTGCAGCACAAGGGGGCTTTGGAGTGAAACAGCATGTACTGCTGCCGAGGCCACTTTTCAACCGAGTTTGACCGCACCAAACCAAGATGGATTCGTCTACCGTTATACTTATATTTGTTAGGAGCTTCAACGTGGATGCAGAATGCCTTTCATTCTCAATGCTCATTCAATCTAAAAGCAAGGCACATTTAAACTGACTGACTCTCCAACTCACCGTGCTGCATCTGCTGCTGCTGCAAAATCCTTGATCTCATTGAGAATGATCTCCCTCACCGACCCCCGCACACGCTGACTGCTCATGTAGACACATGCATGCATGCATACATGCACACATACATGCATGCATACATATGCACACACACACGTGCATGCATGCATGCATTCACCATGCACACACACACATGCATCCATACATATGCACACATACATGCATACATACATGTACACACACACATGCATGAATACTTTCATACACATACATGCACACACACATCAAGGGCACCACAGCACAAGCACAGAGAGACCTAATTTACACAGCACAGCACAACATGTCTGACTACGTAGACCATACACGAGGCAATCGACGGCACAGCACCACAGCACAAGGCAGGCGGACCACCAGATGTGAAGAAAGGAGAGAGAGGGGGGAGGGGGGAGGAACCCACGTGGGAAGGACGGAAATTCGACATGGGAGGGGGGAGGAATCTATGTAGGGGCGAGCAAGGCCGTTGGGGAGGCCGAACAGCCCAGCTGGGAGGCGCAAAGGACCCACCTGAGCACGGCGCCAGCAGCAGCCACCTTGCCGAGCAGAGCAATGCACTCCACGAGCGTCTGCATGTACTTGTCATGCTCCGCCACCTCCCTCTTGGTCAACGACTCCTGTTGGGATGGTTGCATGGGGAACGGGTGTGGAGTGGGGAGGGGATGGGGGTGAGAGTAAGTGCACACATAAGAGCAGAGCAATGCACTCCACCAGCGTCTGCATGTACTTGTCGTGCTCCGGGGCCTCCCTCTTGGTCAGTGATTCCTGCGCAGGTAATCATGGGGAGCACACGAATGGGTGCAGTGCAGGTAATGTATGCATGCATGAGGGGAGTCTCACCCCCACACTCCACCAGTGTGTGCATGTACCTGTGGTGCTCCGGGGCCTCCCTCATGGTTAGAGGCTCCTGTGTAGACAGTCATGAGGCAAAGGTGCTTGGGTGCTTGGGTGCATGGGTGCATGGGTGCATGGGTGCATGGGTGCATGGGTGCATGGGTGCATGGGTGCATGGGTGCATGGGTGCATGGGTGCATGGGTGCATGGGTGCATGGGTGCATGGGTGCATGGGTGCATGGGTGCATGGGTGCATGGGTGCATGGGTGCATGGGTGCTTGGGTGAGTGAATGAATGTGCATGTATGAGGGCAGGCAGGCAGGCAGGCAGGCAGGTATGCAGTCCCACACACTCCAGCTCAAGGTCCTCCCTCTCTTTGATTAAGAGAGAAAGAAAGAGAGAAAGAAAGAAAGAAAGAAAGAAAGAAAGAAAGAAAGAAAGAAAGAAAGAAAGAAAGAAAGAAAGAAAGAAGTCAGCTTCCCAACTACCACGCACCACGAACTCATTAGAAGTGGCTTCAGTGAGCCACTTGGGAGGGGGCACGTGGGCGCGCCTCACCACCACCTCCCCTCCCGGGGCGGACGTCCCCGACGCCTCACTGCGCGTGGGCGAGCTCACTGTGCCGTCGTCGTCCTCACTCACCGCACTCCTGGTGTGGGGTGGGGGGGGGGGGGGGGGGGAGTGCGGGGAGTGGTGGGGAGAGGGGTGGGGAGGGGGAAGAGGGAAAAGGTCCACAGATAAGCAGTTGCTGTGCGTGAGCGAGCCACTTGGCTTGGCGCACGTGGGCGCGCGCGCCTCACCACCACCACCTCCCCTCCCGGGGCCGACGTCCCTTACGCCTCACTGCGCGTGGGCGAGCTTACTGTGCCCATCCTCACTCACCGCGCTCCTGGAGGAGGGGGAGATGGAAAGGGGCGAAGGGGGAACAGGTGTGGAGAGGGCGGAGGGATGATGCCCAAGGGCTATGGTGTTGCTGCACGTGAGCGAGCTCACCGTGTCGTCATTGTCCTCACTCACAGCTCTCCTAAGAGGAAAGAGAAGGTGGATGGGGCCGGGGCGGGGCAGGGGCCAGGCCAGCCAGGGGGGAAGGGGAGAGTGGGGAAAAGGATGAGATAGGAAATTAAGTCCCAGGGGTAAGCGTTGCAGTGCACGGCCGGGCAGATCAATATGCCATGCCATGCCGTCTTCATCGCTCACGGCACTCCTCCTGATACTTACTTCACAGGAATGGATGCATGCAGATTCCTCAGGTCTTACAGATCCCACCTCTTTCTTTTCCCATCTCTCACAGGTCGTACCCAGTTGTTCAGCTCATAGGAAGGGATGCATGCAGATTTCTTTCCCATGAGCTCTTTCTCATGAGGGAAGACATCTCTTTCTTTTCCCATCTCGCATCACGGGTTCTACCCAGTCGTACAGCCCCCACCCAACACGCCTTGCCCGGTCGGTCTCCACGTTCAGCCCCCCTCGGGTCCTGGTGCTGCGGCCACAGACTACTGTGGTCGGTCATCAACCCTGATTGGCTGGCACCACTGTGACCAATTGACAACCGTTCTGGTATTTCCCAGAAGGTTCCTTACCCGGTCTCCACGTTCAGCCCACCACGGGCCCGAGCGCTGCGGCCGCGCATGCGGGAGGGCTTGGAGGGGGCGGGAAGGGAGATGCCCTGGGCGGCAAGCGACGGATGTAGCGGGGCGGCGGCCGGCACGGCCACAGGCACGAGGTTGCTGATGTCATCATCGTCGTCCGTTGCAGCTTCCTTCTTTAAACTGTGCAATCAGTAGGACAGGAGGGGCGGGGAGAGAATGGACCAAAGAGATGGGTTGAGAAGGAGACAGAATGCTATCGCATGCGTAAATTAAAGCCCCACGACCCACCCACCTGTGTCGCCCCTTGTTGTACAGATGTGCATGCAGCTCCTTATTACACAACTGAATGAACAGCAGCAACTTCGATGTGTGCATGCATGCGTGTGTACCCAAACTTTCATGCCCCACCACACCCACCTGTGCTCGCCCTTGTTGTACAGGTGCGCATGCAGCTCCTCTATCACGCACTTGAACAGCAGCAGCAGCTTGACACAAATGCGCACATGCATGCATGTGCATCCATGCATAGATGCACGTGTATGCACATGGATGGGCCTATGCGATGCACTCACACCCATGCACACACGCACACCGGTTCACCCACCTGTGCTCGCCCTTGTTGTACAGGTGCGCATGCAGCTCCTCTATCACGCGGTTGAACAGCAGCAGCTTTGTGTTCGCCAGCTCGTTGCGAATGTCCCTCAGCGCTCCGATCTGCGCGGTCAGGGTGGAAGCATGGGGAGAATGAGCACGGGCACATGCAGGGCAAGGTATGGACGTGCATAGACTGAAGATTCCCGCAACCGCAATCAGAAGCAATCCATGCGGTGCGGACGATGGTCTGCAACATCACGTGCCAACTCCCCCACCCAGCATGTGGTGCAATACCCGACCCAATCAGGCAGAAAGTACTCGATTTTGGGTCGGGTCAAATGCAGATCAAAACCCGACCCGACCCGGCCTGATTTTGAAAACTGGATATGCCTGGCTCGACCCAGCTGGGCCAGGCTCCCCAGAACGCTGACACGACCCACCGGGCCAGTATGCTCAAGCCTACTGTAAGTGCGGGAATGAATGAATGAACGAACGAAGGCATCTGTCAGTCAGTGAACCTTGCCTGGAAAGGTTTGTTTCTGTGACTTTCACCTGGGAAACATGCCATCTGTTGTTTTCACCTGGGAGATGCCCTCTCTGTCGAGCGTGGAGATGGACTGCAGGTGAATCTGCACGGCAGCATACAGCTGTCCCTCCGCCACCAGCTGCTCTATGCGCGCTGGCACCTGCACAGGAGGGGACGGAGGGGATGGTTGGATTGAGAACGGGAGGGAGAGAAGGGAGGATGCAGGGGAGAATGGGGGGAGAGAAGAGGAAGGGAAGACATGAGGCTGTCGATCTAGTGGCAAGCACTGTGTGGTGCAGAGTAGATATTGAATGCCCAACAGTGGCAGTACAGGAGACCGTGGGGAAACGCGGAGCGGTACCATTGCCGCAGTTCATGAGGCTGGCTGCCAATCTGGTGGTCTTTGAATGGCTGCTAGCAGTCTGGCGTGGTGGTTGGATTGAACAATTGAATACGATACGATATGATACGATACGATACGATACGATACGATACGATACGATGCGATATGATTCTATAGGAGATATGACATGTTGCACTGCAGAGAAGGCACGAGCGCATGTGCATCACATCACATGTGAATGCACGTGCCTTGGAGACGCTGTCGATCTGGTCAATAAGGGAGATGACGTGGCATGAGATACGTCGAATCGATGCACTGTGTTGCATTGCAGATAAGCCAAAACCACAAGTGCATCACTGGGATCGAATGCATTCTGCCTGCCTTCACGCAGCACGTGCCTTGGAGACGCTGTCGATCTGGTCGATGAGGGAGATGACGTGGCGCAGCGTGATTGAGCGGCACCACAGCTGCTGCAGCTGCTTGTGTCGGTTGCTCAGCAGCCGCCTCGCCTCCGCCAGACTCGCCTTCAGCTCACTCATCTGCTCCGCTGACTCGCTGAACAGCTTCAGAATCTGGGAAGGGGAGAGGGGGGGTGGGGAAGGAAGCGGGGTAGGGGGAGGGGATGTGGAGTGGAGGGGGAAAAGGTGTTGGTGTGGGCGAGGGGGAGAGAAACGGTGATCCGTGCGGATAGCTTTGTCACCTCCGCCAGACTCGCCTTCAGCTCACTCATCTGCTCTGCCGACTCGCCGACTCGCTGGCCCTGTTAAATCCTTGGTGGTATGCCTGCACTGCACCACACCACATCGTTACACCGTGCACTCACACCATGCACTCACACCATGCACTCACACCATGCACTCACACCATGCACTCACACCATGCACTCACACCATGCACTCACACCATGCACTCACACCATGCCCTCACACCATGCACTCACACCATGCACTCACACCTGCGAGTAGTTATGAATGGCCTGGTGGAACGCCTGCACGACGTCATCCCGGAGCACCTTGGTATAGTAACGCATTTACTTACATTACAAGTACATACCATACCACACCATAGCAACCGACCTGCGAGTAGTTATGAATGGCCTTGTTAAAGCCCTGGTGGTACGCCTGCACAACATCGTCCACGAGCACCTCGATGGTGTCTCGCAGCTTCGCCAGGCTCGCCATGTCATCCTGCGGGTACCCTGACGTCAGCACCGCCACCACGTGCGGCAACGTGTCGAACCGCGGCTCCTTCCACACGTCCTGGATGCCCGATAGCTGGTCCTCCACGGCCTGAGGGAATGTGAGAGGGGTGGGGGGGGGGGTTGGGGGGAAGGGAGGGAGAGTGGTGGAGGGTGAAGAACGCAAGTGGGGAGGAAAACGGATGGGTTAGATCGCCATAAGAGTATATCAGTGTGTGTCGAACCGCGGCTCCTTCCACACGTCCTGGATGCCCAACAGCTGGTCCTCTTCGGCCTGAGGGGGAGGTGTGGGTGGGGGGGGGGGGGGGGGGGGGGGGGGGGGGGGGGGGGACAGGTGGGTTGAAGAGTGCAAGTGGTAAAAAAGGGATGGGTTAAATTGCCAAAAGAACCTATCAAGGCGTTTCTGACCGCCGCTCCTTCCACACGTCCTGGATGCCCGATAGCTGATCCTCCACGGCCTGGGGGGAGGTGGGGAAGAATCTAGGCGGGTGAAGAATGCAAGAGGGAACAAGGCTGGGTGAAATCGGCCGTGCGTAAATGGGGAAGGCGAAAACGCAGAAGAATTCGATAAAGGAACGGCAGAGGAAGCGCAAAAATATGGTTCAGAAGAAACGTGTCAGTCTGGTCTGGTGTCACCATTAAAGAGAGTGTCTTTAGTCGGAGAAAAAAAAAAAGAGGTGCAGCTCTTTTTAATCGAAGCAATGTGAGAGAATTTTCCCTGTTAAAACGCTGCCATGACTCAAGAAACGTTCCCGTGAAACAGTAGGTGTCCGACACGGGCACAGTATTCCCTTTCGACTAGTAGCGCCGCTTTGTTGTGGTTACAAGCAGCGAATCGCCACGCGACAAGAGCACGACGACTGGAGTCGACGAGAGTGGAAGGGACAGGACGACGCTACGACTCATGCGCGAAAAGTCAACCGAAAACTTCGCTTGTCACTACTGAGTTAAAGCGATGAAAACATAGAATGAAGGAACAAAAATAGGAAGTTTAACCATTCCGCGATGTGTCTTATCCCATCAGACAAATCAGCTCTTAATCGAAGCGTCATATCGAATCGCGGAGCGCGAAGAGAAGCCATTCCAAACGACTAAGACAGCAGGCAAACGATTAGAACGAGCACAGCTACCACGCTAAGGCATAGTTGCTCACCCCCCAGTTCATCTCCTCCATCTCGTCCTCCATGCCGCCGCGTTAGTCGCCGCGCTGGTCGCCGCGTGCACCGCGCGTATCGAATAATGTCTAAAGCGCCGCAAGCTAGAATATGCAAGCGATGGCCTGACCACTGCACCCTCGAGCAATTTTATGGAAAATGCCGAACAGCTTGTGGTTGGCACTGGTTTTTTTTTTTTTTTTTTTTTTTTTTTTTTGGGTAATTGGTAGAGTACACCGAAAGAGCAAGCATACAACACCAAGAACGGTCGTAACCGTTCGTGAGGGGCAGAGCAGACCCTAACCCCAAAAAACAAAACACACTAGGGCACGTTGGGACCCGCCCTCCGAGGCGACCACAAAGCTGTAAACGCACTTGTCCACTTCCAACTGACGTCATCCTGTGTTATCCTTCGAAGCATGCTCCGCTCCTTCTCATAATTGCAACGCAACTGCTTCCGCCGCGCCGAGCCGAACTTCCGGGTGTAGATCTTTACATGCTGCCTGAACGCAAAAACGATCTTCCATAAAACCCTCTGTGTCCGGAACCTGCCGCCACGAAACACCGCCTCACACCGTTCTATCCACAGCTGATGGAAGGTGATGGCGGTGAGAGTCAGCTCCGGGAATGCTGAGCTGGTGCCAGTTTTCCGGAACAAAAGATCACCCAGCGTGTCGACCCTGCGGCCAGGGTTCAGCATGCACAGCGCACGCCTGAGGGCCGAGGAAACCACCTGAACACGTGGGCAGAGCAGGAGACAGTGCTCCATTGATTCCGATTCCCCGCAGTACGGGCAGACAGGCTTGCTGCTGAGGAAAACCAACCTCTCCCCGACTTGCAAATTCCAACCGTGGATTGTGATGAGGACATCTCGCGGACGGCTGGGGACCGCCAGAGAGTCTCTGGTCGCAATTGCCCGCTTCCAATCAATTGTCCCGCGCCACTTTTCCGCCCACTTCTGCTGCTTGTATGACCGCTCCTCAGCGCCACGCCAGCTCTCCTTCATCCGCTTCTCAGACACAACCCGGCCCCCTTCCACCACCACCAGCCTCTGGGGGGAGTCAGCCGAGCAGGGAGGAACCGTCGGAAAACCCAACAGCCTCTGCCAAGCAGCAGGCAGAGCCCTCAATGCCTTGAGAGCAAGCTTAGCCGGACCGTTACCCCCCAGCTGCTGAGTTAACTCTGCCATGGTCTTTAGATCCAGCTCCCCATCGGGCCCTCGTGTCAGCAGATCCCCAGGCGGACCCCTTTCAGGCGCTGAGCATCCTGTTGCCCTCCGACAGGCGTAGTACCGTTTAATAGAATCTCCCGGTTAAAGAAGATACTTTCCCGCAGCACTTCCTCCCTGTTGCCAGCTGGAGCGCGGGTCCCAAAAGGAGATCGCAAGAAGATTTCACACGTCTGCTTCCAGCGAATGCCCCGACCGGACCAGTGCTTAATCAGCTTCTCGTGCGTCTCGAAAGTATCCGCTCCGAGGGGGAGGTCCGCTGCCAGCGTCATGATCTCCTTCTTCAGCAGGTTGCGCTCAATAAGGAACAGCCCCACCCTCCTTGCGGCCAGGCACATGATGATCATCTCTGGGTCCCTGACTCCAATCCCTCCGGCCGCTCTAGACTTGAACAGCAACTCCCTGCTCCAGAGCTGGAAACCCTTCGCTCCCGAGACCCTATTCTCGGAGATGAAGCCCTGAATCAGCCTCATCAGCTCTTCCCAGATGGCCGCCGGGGGCGAGTACACTTGAGCCTGAAATGCGATTATCGGCGTGATGTAACTGTTCACCACCGTCGCTCTTGCCGATGTTGTGAGGTATTTCTGCTTCCACTTGACTAACTCCCCGCTGATGTGCCCCAGCGCCTTTTCCCAGGTCGGTAAGCCGCTGCCGGAGGGGGTCACCCAGACGCCCAACAGCCTCTCTGCATCGTCCGCACCAGCCCGCTTGAAGCCACACAGAGTGCCGCCATTTACCCGAGTGTTTACACCTAAAGGTAGGACCACCGTTTTGTCCGCATTAGTCGCAAGCCCCGAGACCTTCTCGAACTCTGACAGCAACTGCACCGCTCTGACGATCTGCTGCTTCCCCTGCAGGACCAGCGTCGTGTCATCAGCATAGCCCAGATAACCGAGCTGCCGCCCCGCCTCAGACAAGCCAAGTTTCCTTCGCTCCACCTCCTGCGCCAACGGCTCCACAGCACACAGGAAGAGATAAGGCGCCAGAGGGCAACCTTGTCGAACCCCTGAGACCACCTCCAGTCCCTCGCCCAGCCATCCATTGATTAACAACCGCGTATTCGTGTCTCTGTGCAGGCCCTCGATCCACCCCACGAACCGATCAGGAAAGCCCATGCCGCGCAACACTTGGAAGAGGAAACTACGGGAGACCGAGTCAAAAGCTTTCTGAAAATCGACCAGAAGCAGGTGCCAGTCCTTGCTTCCATTCCTTGCGGCCTCGATAATGTCCGCCACCAGGGATACCGCATCCGACAGCCGCCTGCCGGGGATAAAACCATACTGCTCCGGGGATACGACCTGGTGCAACACCGTCTTCATTCGGTCCGCAATCACCCGTGCCAATACCTTGGTTGGCACTGGTTCTGCCGTTCTGCACTCTTGGAGTTCCCTAGGATGTGTACCTAGGACGCGGTACATAGTGCATTGCGGTTATTGAAACAATCTAACGAAAAGAAACAAACTATTTGAATTATTGTACCGTACCTAGGACGCGGTACATAGTGCATTGCGGTTATTGAAACAATCTAACGAAAAGAAACAAACTATTTGAATTATTGTACCGTACATAGTGCATTGCGGTTTCCGGACCATCCTGCGTACCAATGTTTGCCTCCAAATGTACAAAGCCGTTGGTGTCTCCACATGTACTGTGCAGTTACAGCGCAACTTAGGCATTCTGACCTGAACATATGGGTGCTGTTCGCCAGCACCAATATAACTGAAAACGACGGGATAACAACGGGATCAGGAAGGTGGGTCTCGCCTTCCTGATCCCGTCAGTTAGAGTTCGTTAACCTCCGTCAGCTTGGTCAGCCCGTGAAAAATGTGCCGAGCCTCACCAACCGTCCAAACCAATTAACAAAGTGGGCGTCTGGCGAACGCCCACTTTTGCACACCGATTTTTACGTTTCGACGGCATATGGAAGCGGGGACGAAACTTCCTCCCCAGGCAAAACACCATCCCCTTGCAATGCCATCGTCATGCTGGCCCTGCTCGACAGGCAGGCAAACACTTCCACTTCACTTTCGCCGCTGTTTCGATTTAGGATTTTTTTCAACGGTCAGCCCGCAATTTTGTGTCTCTGGGCTTTAACGCCCCTTAACAAGAAGGGTTAAGGGTGAGCCTGTCGAACGCGACGTTAACCCTTCAAGTTCAGCCCTCCCAAAAGTTCCCAGCCCCTTCTCTCACGCGTAGGCTTTAGCCTACCTCTAGCCCAGCCCTCCAACCCCCGGATTGGGGGTTGGCCAAGAGCTAGGCTAGGGTTTCATACGGGAGGGAAAACCCACGCCATACTCTACGAAACTTTTCGCTCCAGAGCCCGTGCCCTAGCCTCCCCAAACTCTGCCCTGAAATTGTCCTTTTCAACTGTTGACGCGTGAGAGAAGTGCCCGTTTTGTTTTCCTTTGGTTCACCCTGGTGCGAATGCCATCCCTCCCCCAAAATTTATACACTGCCCACGATGAAGATGGTGGAAGGTGGGGCTGCAACATCGCTTTCAGCCCCCCCACCTTCCGACCTCGGGCGGCGCTGCTTCCGATTTGTTTTGGGGGGGGGTAGCCGAAACCACTTCGAAATCACCTCTTAGCTCTAGCCTAACCCTAGCGCTCCAAGGAGGTGCCTGCCTGTCGAGCAGGGCCTCTGCGTTTTTCAAAGCACAACGGTGGCACAGCGGTGGCACCGCGGACGCATTGCTGTGCAGGGGAACCCTCGAACAAGCCTTCATTTTGACACAGGGGGGTTCGTATACCCCCCATTTTTCCATCCCAAACACACCTTCGGAGTGTGAGTTGTGTCTGGAACTGAGCGAGGGATGGGGGGAGTTGTGTTTGAGCGGGGTGCGTTTTATTTGCGTTTTTTACCCACGTTGAGCATTTTTTGGTCAAGCGGGCAGCAGGTGGGTCAGTGATGTGCAAATTTCGCGCCATTGGGGGGAAGGTGGGGATGGACCTTCCCGATGCGGTTGCGAAATTTCGCCTTTTGGGCGCTCATAGTTTCTCGGGCGGCATTTCGCCCAAACCTCGGAGGAGGGTTCCACCCCCGTTTCCATATGCGGTCACGAAGCTGATGCCGTCGTTTTCAATTTAAAAAACGATGTGCTGGCGAACAGCACCATGAAGATCCTGCACAAGGAATCGGCTCGAACCCTGCCTGAACTGTACAGGGAGTGTACTTCAAGCCTGGATTCTCTGGTTCTGCAACCAGTGCTCCCTCGCCTTGGATCCATGGCTGCTGCCAGAATCTCTCGCAGAACATGCACCCAGAGCAGGCAGGCGGTCGATCTCGTAGACCGATCTCTCGTTAATTTATCCTCATATTCCGTAACAAAGCGTCATTTTTCCGATTCCATACGCGCGTCGCTGCAAGGGGTCTGTGGGTTTCCTGTGAACGGATCAGATCGTCTCTGCGCTTCTCGGCCTCAGACATCCGTCAATATTTCTGCGGCGTGTGTGCGGCTTGGAAGCTCTGACCACGGGGCCGAGGAAGCAAGAGAGGGGGCAAGAGAGGCGGCAAGGAGGGAGCCGGAGCACCGCTTCTGGCCGCTGTTGCTCGATCATGCGACACATTAACGCGAGCAGGAGGAGCAAAGGACCATGAAGGCCTCTCTGGTGGCCTGATGGCGCCCGATCTCCGCCGCCCGGCGTCTGGTCTCCGCCGCCTGGCGCCCGATCTCCGCCGCCCGGCGTCTGATTTCCGCCGCTACCGCTCGCCGCACGCGCAGTGGCGCTTCGAGGCGAATGAGGCTGTCATCTGGACTCGAGTCGACCTCCGGATCGCGCGTCAACGTCTTCAAAGAAGACCCTGCGTTGTTGCGACACCCTCTGTTGTCACCCTGTCACGACAGATTTCACTGGTAACCAGAGTCGCGACTGGCGAAGCAGGTAGCGAAAGCCTGCTTATTGGCCAGCAGAGGCGTCTGGTAACCAGCCTCGTGAACTCCAGCTCGCTGGATGCAGAGAAGGCGCGATCAGCGGGAGTGAAAGTGGACGAAATAGGGAAGCAGCGAGAGGGGGTTACAATAAACAAACAGGAGTGCAAGAACAGGGGGGAGCAGAGAGGGGAGGAGGATAGCAGGGGCAGGGGGGAAGGAGGGGAGAGGGAAGAATACGAGTCAATGGACGAGGAGAATCTGGGGTGGCGGTCGCACTGGGGCTTTAAGCTCATCGTTGCTGCCACCATCGTTGGGGTCGCCATCAATGCGTTTCCACTCATGGGTGAGTGTCATCTCAGTTGGTGTGTGAGTGTCATCTCAGCTCGTGGTCTAGTGTCATGTCATCTCAGGTTGTGGGCGAGAGTCATCTCAGCTCGAGTGAGTGTCATCTCAACTCGTGAATGAGTGTCATTTCCGCTCAGGTGAGTATCGTTTCATCTCATATTAGTTTCATCTCAGCTCGTGGTTAAGTGACATCTCAGCTCGTGGTTAAGTGACATCTCAGCCTCGTGGTTAAATGTCATCTTCAGCTCATGAATGAGTGTCATCTCTGCTCATGCGACTGTCATCTCTGCTCATGGGACTGTCATCTCTGCTCATGCGACTGTCATCTCAGCTCATTCGACTGTCATCTCAGCTCATTCGACTGTCATCTCAGCTCATTCGACTGTCACCTCAGCTCATGCGACTGTCATCTCAGCTCATGCGACTGTCATCTCAGCTCATGCGACTGTCATCTCAGCTCATGCGACTGTCATCTCAGCTCATGTGACTGTCATCTCAGCTCATGCGACTGTCATCTCAGCTCATGTGACTGTCATCTCAGCTCATGCGACTGCCATCTCAGCTCATGCGACTGTCACCTCAGCTCGTGGGATTTGCCGGCACTCTTATTCACCCGGTTTTCAATCCCCATGCTCGATCACACGCACTCAGGAGACTCGCTCATCCGCCACTCAGTTGCTCTTTTAAGGGCCAAGGACCCTTTCCTCAGGCGATCGGGAGCCTACCGTCTCGCCTTCATTGCTTCTAATGGTGAGCTCCAGCTTTGACCCAAAAGCCAAGTTCTGACCCAAAAGCCTAGTTCTGACCCAAAAGCCAAGTTCTGTCCCAAAAGCCAAATTCTGATCCGAAAGCCAAGTTCTGACCCGAAAGCCAAATTCTGACCCGAAAGCCAAATTCTGATCCCAAAAGCCAAGTTCTGATCAGAAAGCCAAGTTTTGACCCAAAAGCCAAGTGTCTGTGGCTGCCTCAAGCGGCCCTGCCTGCCTGTACTGCTCTTTCAAAAGACCAACACATCGTGATCTAGTCCTGCAAATTCTCCCCTAGCTTCATGCATCCCAAGCCCTTAGGCACCAACAGTGTGTTTATAACGTTGCTGCTCTCTCCCTATTCTTCTTCTGTCTTTCCTTTTCCCCCACCAGATGAGACTCGCATGAAAATCGTGGAAGCCGGGGCCCTTCCGCACCTCTTGCTCCTCCTTGAATCCCCCTTTCACCGGACTGAAGCTACTCCTCATCCCACATCCCCTCCTCTCGCCAGCGCTCCTCTAGCCCCTGTTTCTCTCGCCCCCCCTCCTCTCTCTCCTTCGGAGAGGCGCATGGTCAAGGAAGCACTCACATGCCTCACCCACCTGGCTCGTTCAGGTAAGCTTTCCTTTTCTGGCATTAATAGGTGCTGCTTCTTCGGAAGCTTCTTCAGGTGCTTGTGCTCTCCCTCTATCTGTTGCAGCTCTTTTCATCTCCTCTCCTGAGTTTCTGAAGCATTCACTCTGCTGCGTCCTCTTTCACTCAATACCACTGTACATTTGGCTAATGATTTCCACCTCTTTTCTCGATGAACTTGATCAGATAATCATGACAGCTTCTGTCAAACCCCTGTCATTGTTTCCTGATCCAGACACAGCAGTGCTCGCCATGGTTGCAGCCGGCGTTGTGGCGAGACTGCAGCAGGCAGCAGTTTGCATCAGACTCCAAGAAGGAGATCAACCGGACGAGCTCCTAGGGCCGTTGAATGCTCTTGTTTCCCGCCTTGTCTCTGCTGGTGCAACCACTCAGAATGTTCTAGGCTGAACTGTACTGCGCTGTATCAGTGCATTGTACTGTGCTCTATGGAGGTCATACTTGTACAAAATGTAAGGTGTTCTTTCAGTTTACATGAGATCTACCGGTACATAGGGAGGCACAGGGTGTGCTAAATTTCTTTGCCTTCCCCAGCATGAGATGTGACGCTTAGCATGGCGCCTGCTCAGCCCCCAAGTTGCATATGTGCAGTACCTTAGTGCATTCCCCTGTCTGACACATCCAGCTAGCAAGGGTTATCAGATGACCATCATCTTATACACTAGTAAAAACGCTTTGACACATGAAGGAAATGGACCGCAACTGATGCTCTCTATCCACAAACGAATTGGATATGGTAACTGGTAACTGTCCACATGTAGAACTTCAAACATGGAATCGTTGGTCTTGTTGCTGATGGCAGATGGCACATGTTGTAAGCTCCAGCTTAACCTGGGAGATGCAAAAAATCTTTGACCACCATTCAGCGGCCACGTAAGATGTGATGCTGCCTAGCTTGTGTCATGCATCCATTCTCTGGCCTCCGTCAGTGTTAGCAGAGCAAATTTTCCTGCCTTGCAGCAGACAGAGCATCGGTTGCGGTCCATTTCCTTCATGTGGTTGAAACACTTGCAAGAAAGCAGCTCGCCGCAAGACCTTCGAAAAAATTGGGAGCAGTCCACGGAGAAGACTCGGGGAGATCTCGGTCGTGCTGCTGGACTTTATCATGGTGTGTTACTGCATCTGATAGGCTCAAAATCCGGGACAATGTCCCACACACTTTGCAATAACGGTTTTGAATCTTGTGTCCACTCCATGGATAGGGAAAAATGGTTGTACCTAGTCCACGGGGGCTACATCCATGCATTCGGATGCATGTATGTGCAAGAAATGCTCACATGCAGGGAAAAGGGACAAGCTGACATCAGATAAGAGTGAAGGAAACAAAAGAGGGAGTTGTTGAATGCAGGGGAACCAGTTGATGGAGGGAAGGGGAGGAGGGCGAGGGAGGAGGAAAGGGGTGGGGAGAGGGGGTTGGGGGGGGTCGGGAGGAGGGAAGAAGGGGGAGGCATGGGTAAAGGAGAAACAATTGAGGTTCAGGTTTCAGAAGCGACACCTCTGGAGTCACATTTGAGATAAATTTCTTTTCACAATATATTTCTTTACAAGAAACGGCACATTAGCCAGCCACGAACGAAATGATGGTAATAAATTAGTACAAGGTGGTCCGAACTGTGCTACCAGGTCATCTCGCCCAGAAAGCTGAGATGCGGTGATGTCTCACTCACATAATTTGCAGTGATGCTTCCGCTCCGTCAAATCTGCTCAGTCCAGAATAGGTAAGACTTCAAAAGGCAAGAACAAAATCCCTAGGAGGCATGGATTGCATACCTTGCTCCCAGGATGTCCAGAGTACACTCAAGAAGATGTTGGTTGTATTCTCCTCTATTTTTCAGAAACTTGGTAATCAAAGCAACCACCTTTTTCCAGTAATGTTGCTCTCTTGATGGTCGATACGAATGCAAGGTGTTCCAGTCAACATACGACCTGCACAATGAAGTCAACAATTACGTGACATATCAACAGACCTGGTATGATCCTCGTGCCTCAAACAACACCAGATATTCTTTCCTTAGAGTGAAGCTCCAAGAGACACCACAAAAATCAATCGCGCGAATTTCAAGAAAATCAGGGATTAGGTGCTGAAAGAACGCCTCGACCTGCACAGGCGTGATTGTATCACGGTTAGCTGAATGATTCAACACTCAATACATGGTGCACCACATACCAATGGAGAACGAGCAAAACCCAAAACGCTTAAAATGCTTCCTTTGTGAAGGAACGACCCTGCCAATGCGAGCTGTTTTGGGATAAGATTTAGTCCAGGCAGAAATCACAACAGCAACTCGCGGCAGGAATACCTGGTGCACCAAAGTAGAAAGCCGTGAGCCTCCACGAAGGACAAGAACATCAATAGGCCGTTTCTCCCAAGCCTCAGGCCTTAACACCTGTTGAAAGACAATGGTCAGAACAGTAGCATGAGCAGGAATCTGTCAAAACAAGCCGAACCTCCGAATATAAGCCAGGAACAGGAGTGGCACTCGGGTCAACAGGAAGCACCGCAGCTTGCCAAATCGCCAAGATGCTTCTTCCAACCCCATGAGTCTTCATGGACTTGCAAGGCTTGGTGAGCGGCAAATCATACCGAAGAGCCAGTTGTTTGTTGAACAAAGTCTCGTTTCCAAAAAACTCCAGTTTCAGATTCTTTTCCAATCCGTTTCGAACAGCCAGCCCTGAATTCCTCAGCTTTTCAGGTGTAATTTCTCCTGTCCGCAATAACTTAGACATCGTCTTCGCCTTGTTCAGTAGTTTTCGGCCAACACCAGAATTAGGTTTCGTCACATCAGGCAGAACCAAATCCTCAGAATAATATATATCTGACATGTCGTTATAGCTGGTGTGATCTCCCATCATATCCAGATCTGTCACCTCAGAGAGAGCTCTTAAAAGCTGGCTCTCCAAATCCATTTTCTCCCGAAGTGAAGAGTCCTTGAATGTATCAAATGAGAAGAGCCTTCCCTCGTTATGTCTGCCAGCCATGTAGAGTCCAGCAGCAAGACACCTAGAATATTGGCCAGCCCAAGCTCCAAGCTCAACAATAACCCCTGCATCGATTCATTTGAAGTTATAGAACAATGGACCAGAGTCGAAGATGTAGCTTACCGGAGGTTCTGGCGTACCTGACTCTTTGCATTCCATAGCTGCCAGGATAAGGGATTCGCAATGTTGCCGTTCTTGCGCTGGAATAACGGTGCCGTCGTCAAACACGAATATGTTGGATACTGGTGTCAATGTCTTGTGTAATTCCTCCGAGCTCTTAAAGAAATCCTTCGGCAAAGACGTTTCTGAATAGTTTAAGTTTACGTGATGATTCATCAATTCAGCGTGGTCAGTTTGGGTTAAAGAGCGCCGATGAGAGTAGCTGACGCTGCGAGGATCCATTATCAAGCCTTTCCCTGTCGGAAATCGACCTACGTTCGACTTGTCGACAACAAAAACCAGAAGGGAGAGTATGAAGGTGGATGCGACTAGGGTTGGTAAATGGCAGTAACATGAACCTTTCAAATCACTTCTGATCATCGATTGGCTAGAACGAGGAATGGAGCCCACCCTTTCCGCCACAGAGCCGTCTGAGGTCATTCCTGATGTGATTTGAGAGGATGGTCTTCTCTCCATAAGTTGTAGTTTGCGACAAGCACGCAATACCAGATTCTCAGAATGAGCTGTTTGATTGTGAAGCGGTTCGTATCAGCATGATCACCTCTACTAGTCGTCCCGCCAGGTTTCACATCACACTGATGGAGCCACGACTTCAATGCACCAAGAACGTAGAGCTTCGAGCATAACAGAATCAGCAGGGTAACGTTACAGCAAAGTATCTTGCGAAATCAATGCCATTTCTGTGGCCTTTGCGACGTTCGCTGACGTCCTCAAACGTAGAACTGCTGTGTACTTGTCCCCGCACAATTCAAAGGCTTCGGTACAGCGTATGGCGCACAGCCCCAAAACTGAACAGATTCGGTTGGGAAACACTACAGAAGATGTTAGGTGTACGGTACATTTCCAGCAATGCAGTGTTGACAGCCAACCTTGCTGGACGCGGTAAAAGTGATCGATCGGGGGAAAATCGATCCGTCCCACCACACTGAAATCCCGCTTTTCGCACACAAAAACTACAAAAAATTTCAAAACCGCGTTAGAAAACGATCTCGAGGCGATCGATCCGACACTGTTACCGCGTCCTGACTCAATCTATCAATGTCGAATCAGGGCGTGCTACTCAGGGTCCACGGAACCCTTGGTTTCCTGCGGACCGGGCGGCCCAGCCCGCAGACCAGGACGGACCAGCTGTGATCCGGCTCGCGGACCAAAAAAGTGTTAGAATCTAGCAGCAGGAATGGATGAACTAACAACATGCACGAGTACAAGTAGTAAACCCTAATTGGGTTGTACCCCATATGGGCTACCCCACTACAGCCTAGACAATATGCAGCATATATGTTTGACACACCCCCATAGGCAAAGTGGGGGAAAAAAAGGGGTCACACGACCAGTAAAGAGACGCAAAGCAAGCTCAGGTGGATCTTAACGTCACCATACATTCTGAGCACAAGCAAAGGGCCGCAAGGCCAGTCCACATGCAGAGATATATATAAGCAACAAGAGCAGTACAGTGATCAATACCTAGCAAGAGCAAGCATGCAGGAATATATATAGAGATCACAGTACACACAAAAGACTACAGCAAGTGTGGAAACGTAGGCACAAGGCCTAACAAAGTACAAAAGCGCTGATGATCACCAGACGGAAGTGCCTTGGTGAATATATCAGCTGTGTTGGCCCGAGTGGCCACGTGTGCAAGACGAAGCTGACCACGCTGCTGCAACTCTCGAGCCAGAAAGTACCGCAGAGCGATGTGCTTCGTTCTGTGCTCCAGTCTGTGCTCCTCACACAAGGCAATGGCAGCCTTGTTGTCGACGTACAGCACTGGAGGAGAACGAGGCCGCTCTCCCAGGTCGGTCAGCAGGTAGGTGAGCCAGCGTAACTCCTGAGCAGCCATGGCGGTGGCGTAGATCTCAGCCTCACAACTGGAGCTGAGAACAGAAGACGAGCGAGTAGAACGTGTCAAACATTATATATGTTGTGTTTGTTTAGGCTACAGTGGGTTAGCCTCTAGGGGGTACACAATTCTAGGGTTAGGTACTTGTACTGATTTCACTGTTAGTTCAATCATTCCTGTCCGTTCATTCTGACATGGTATCAGAGCAGGTCCTTCACTAGGACCGTTTTAGGGCCCACCGCTACCTACCTACCTACCTACCGTGCGCCCTCGTGCGCCCTCGCGCCCTCGTGCGCCTCTTACTACCGTGCGCCCTCGTGCGCCCTCGCGCCCTCGTGCGCCTCTTACTACCGCGCGCCCTCGTGCGCCCTCGCGCCCTCGTGCGCCTCTT